GCTCCATGCAATGGCGAAGGATAGAACGACTTGGCGTGAGTTGGTTGAGGGCCTATGCTCCATTGGGGGATAGAAAGCAGAAGAAGAAGAAGATATACCATACTAGACTGGGGGGGGGGGGAGTACCCTTTCCTTCACGCATATACCATGCTAGACTGGGGGAGGGGGGGGGGACTACCCTTTCCTTCACGCATATACCATGCTAGACTGGGGGAGGGGAGGACTACCCTTTCCTTCACGCATATACCATGCTAGACTGGGGGGGGGGGGGGGTTTTCCTTTCCTTCACGCATATACCATGCTAGACTGGGGGGGGGGGGGGGTACCCTTTCCTTCACGCATATACCATGCTAGAATAGGGGGGGGGGGCGGGGGGGGGGGGGCGTGGGGAGTACCCTTTCCTTCACGCATATACCATGCTAGACTCACATTTTTTTTCTTCTTCTTCTTTGCGTTCACCAGCTGTAAACTCTGGTGGAAAGTTCTTGTTTGTTCATCCTTTTCTGGACTGCAGTCCTGTTCCAGAACCTGAGTGTTGCGTGTGCATCCGTTTGACAGATCTGACACACTTGTGTGCAGACTGTTGGTCCCTTGCCTCTCGGACAGATGCATTCCGACTTCGAAGGAAGCTCCCAATTAGTCGACTCTTACGACATGCTATTGGGTAGGCAGTGGGTCTATTCTTGTTTTCCCTATAACAGGGCCCCGGAACCCACACGGGGGTCATTTTTATTGACCGATCGGCATTCAGCGAAAGGCGTGGTCACCCATATGCAGGCCGCCTTTATGCCCCATCGCATTTCCTTTTACCCAGTTTAGGCTACGTTGACCTGGCAACCAGGCACAATAATTTTGTTTGTATTGTAAACGTTTCTAGCCACTTCGCTATCGCAGCGGTTTGCATTTAGACTTGTGGTGGATAAATAAAATGCAACTGCTTGTTTCAGTGAGAACAAAAAAAAAAAAAAAAAGATTACCACATACTAGCCACATCATTAGGAGAAATGGTCAGATTTTAACTTAGCACGCACTGAAACAAACTAATTCTACAAACGCTCAAAAAAAAAAAAAAATAATAATAATAATAAAACAGGCGTTGATGAGAAAGGCCAAAGATGCTGGACTAGATTACATTCATGATGTTGAAAAGAGAGCACACGAAAGAGTATCTCACTTGTCAGTTAGGATTTCTTTGTGTTGCCCTTTTGCTTCACACATCTCGCCTATCTTGCCAGTTAGCACTTTCCCAGTAGCCTTGTCATACTTTACATACGTTCTCTTTTGACTACCATTTGCCAACAGATTTTTCAGTAAAGCAGTCAACAACAATAACAACCAAAACCATGAAAAAGACAATACATATAACTTGTTTATTCTTAATTTGCAGTTGATGTTTTACAACACTTAAAAACAAAATTCCAATACCATTGTCAAAGCTCGTTCCTGTGAATGCGTTTCTGAACTAACCTACAAGCCTAAATTATATTGAAAATATATAAAGACAAAATAAAGGAATATAAACAAAGCATAATTTAAAAATAAAATAAAAAAAAGGAGGAAGAGACCACAGTTGCAGTGATAATAATCTGGAATCAGTGACAATCCTTTGGGATCAATGTCAATCCTCTGGGATCTCCCTGAAGATTGTGCCCAAGAACCAAAACAATGTATGTTCATTGCACCAGACAAATGACTCAACCACTTAGCCAGACTAAGTTGCGGTCTTTTACAGGACATTTGAGAACCAACTCCAGCATTTTTTGGGTGTGATTTCACTAAGCAAATTTATGTTCAGTAGTTTGCCATTGCTACTAAATGTTTGGCTTCTGATACTAGTGTTGAAGCCAAAGCATAGCTGTCTGCTTCCCTCACAAAAATTAGAACATAAATAAAATATATAATAAAATAAAACATGTAATGCAAATAACTACAAACATACACTACCTTTTTCGCTACACCTTTAAATTCCCTACCTGAATCCCTTAAATTATGAAATTCCCCAAACTTCCATCAAATTACTTTGCAAACAGACTGTTTTCAAAAAAAAAAAATTAAACATAATTAAAGAAAACACACACAAGTCCTGGCCATCCATGAAATGCACAGAGAAAACACAACACAAGCATCCTTATAACCACCACCCCCCCCCCCCCCCTGAAAAAACCCCCAAAGAGAGTTTTTTTAAACCTCCTTCACAGAAAGGTTTACTAATGTTGCTCTCATAGGGCTTAAAAACCAACTTCTCATAGAATGGGTTATTAATTAAGCTTATATTCCTTTAAAAACCCACCTTCCCAGAATGGTCTTTTGAAGTTCTCAAAGTCTTCAAAAACAAACCATCTTGCCACAGAAGAGCCTGTTAAATTACTGTCTAACAGAACTGTGTTCCAATGAAGCTCTCACAGAATACCAAAAACCACCTTCTCACAAAAAGATCTAACAATGAAACTCCCACAGACTGGTCCTAAACCACCTTCTCAGAGAATAATCGATCAATAAAACTCCCAGAAGCTGCTTCTAAATTACCTTCTCAAAGAATAATCTATCAATGAAATTCTCACAGAATATTAAATGCCACCTTCTCACAAAATGTTTTAACAATAAAACTCTCAGATACCATTTCCTAAATTACCTTCTCAAAGAATAATCTGTCAATGAAACTCTCACAAACTGCTCCTGAACCAATAAAGTCCGTATAAATCCCCATCAACAGACTAGTACAGGAGTATAGCTATGAGACCTCTGCTCCATATTTTATATGGCACACTATTTGGAGATGGCCAGTCTAACCTAAACACAGCTCTTGAGTATACTGACTACATAACATACAAAACATTATTGAAGAACCACAACAACAAAACCTAGCATGTGTAATCCTGACATGGATACAACCATTGTTTTCCATCTGCTATAACATAATGAGCTAATGCCATGTCTCAGCCATTACTGTGGCTTAATGACACAGGTATAATGAGTCATTATCACATCTTATCCATTTCTCTGGTTTAATTGCAGTATTTAAAATTTCACAAGTTACCAAATATGTATATTTAAAATACCCCTCACCCCTCTTTCCTCCCAATTCTTTTCTGTATAGACAAAATAAAGAATGACTCTGAAATGAAATAGTCCTTTGGACCATGATTTGAACACAATGGTAATGTGCAAGAGAGAAGGCAGTGAAGATGAGGAAATATCCAGTAACATATGCCAGGTTTTCCTCCGTTCAGATTATGACATACACAAATCATGTAAGCATACATACAGAACATATTTACATGCTGTACAGTTTATAATACAAAAACTGCTGTATTGCCTGTTTGGAGATGCCACCTAAGAAGCTTCTCACAACTTTTTACACAACTCACAATAACATAAAACTCACAAGATTATACAACTCACAAGCTCTTACACAACTCACACGTTTTCACAACTCACTCAACCCCATTTCACTAGCTCACAAATTTCTACTCCATCCCAAACTCAAATCAAGAAGCTTCTTACAAGCCTTAAAACCTCAATAAAGCCATATAGCCATGACCAACCAATGAAGACATGATCAACCCATGAAAACATGATCAACCCATGAAGACATGATCCATCTATTAAGACATGATCAACCTATGAAGACATGATCAACCTATGAAGACATGATCAACCTATGAAGACATGATCAACCTATTTAGACATGATCAACCTATGAAGACATGATCAACTTATGAAGACATGATCAACCTATGAAGACATGATCAACTTATGAAGACATGATCAACCTATGAAGACATGATCAACCTATGAAGACATGATCAACTTATGAAGACATGATCAACCTATGAAGACATGATCAACTTATGAAGACATGATCAACCTATGAAGACATGATCAACTTATGAAGACATGATCAACTTATGAAGACATGATCAACTTATGAAGACATGATCAACCTATGAAGACATGATCAACCTATGAAGACATGATCAACCTATGAAGACATAATCAACCTATGAAGACATGATCAACTTATGAAGACATGATCAACCTATGAAGACATGATCAACCTATGAAGACATGATCCATCTATGAAGACATGATCAACTTATGAAGACATGATCAACCTATGAAGACATGATCAACCTATGAAGACATGATCAACCTATGAAGACATAATCAACCTATGAAGACATGATAAACTTATGAAGACATGATCAACCTATGAAGACATGATCAACCTATGAAGACATGATCAACCTATGAAGACATGATCCATCTATGAAGACATGATCAACTTATGAAGACATGATCAACTTATGAAGACATGATCAACCTATGAAGACATGATCCATCTATGAAGACATGATCAACTTATGAAGACATAATCAACCTATGAAGACATGATCAACCTATGAAGACATAATCAACCTATGAAGACATGATCCATCTATGAAGACATGATCAACCTATGAAGACATAATCAACCTATGAAGACATGATCAACTTATGAAGACATGATCAACTTATGAAGACATGATCAACTTATGAAGACATGATCAACCTATGAAGACATAATCAACCTATGAAGACATGTCCAACTCATGAAACAATGGTCAGCCTATAAAGACATACCCAACCCATTTAGACATGATCAACCCATGAAGACATGAAGACATACCCAACCCATGAAGACATTATGATGTAATGATCAACCCATGAAGACACTAAACACATGAAGACAACCGCCCAGCCCATAAAGCAATGATCAACCCATGAACTCAACTAGTTTAATTAATCCCATCATGTTTAACTTATCTCACACTATTTACAAGCACACGACGTCTTTAGAACAGGCAGACACAGAAGTAATCTATTTTAAACGACTGCTTTGTTTCGCCCTAAGCTGTTGCAACTGATTTGTAAGCAGCCTTTGCTTCTGCTCTTCTCTGAAGATCTCAGCACCCTGCTGCTTATCTGTATGCTTTAAATAGTTAATATGTGACACTGCCTCATTCAAAATGAGGAACTTTTGATGCCTTGGGATTGCCCTCGATTTTTGGCACTGCCACTCTGAGGTCAGTGAACAAGTCTGCAAGTTTTTGTCTGCGATTGCGCTCCAGTTGGTTATGGTGGTTCTGCTTATCTTTGTCAACAACGTCAAGAGATGCATTTCGTCGGTAAGGCCTTCTTGTCGGTGCCACAAGCATGCTGCTTTCAACAGAAGATGAGGAGGCAGAAGACGGAGAGGCAGGAGATAGAGGGCTCATTGCATAATCATGAAAGTTCATACTGAAGCTGTTGCCAAGCACTGGCGAATATGGAGGCAGTGCAGGGGCTGAGGTGACTGTTTCACACTTGAATTTTCGCTTCTGTCCTACAGCGATGACACAACGGCTGGCTGATGGAGTTTCAGTATTTGATATTGAGCAACAAGGCTGGAGTGTGAACTGGCTAGTGCTTGCCTGTCCAGTGGCTGCTGCGGCAACTGTTCTTTTCTTGCTTCCCCGGGGCCTGCCTATTGGCTTTGGCTTTCTGACCACACGAGCTGCGAAAACCAACTTTCTTCGAGACTGAGGTGAATCTAATGTTTTGGCTACAGGGGACTTTTCTTCAAACATGACTGTGGACATAGGAACATCGTGGCTGTCGACTAACTCCACGTCGACATAACTATCAACACTTTCGTCACCTGTGAACATAACATAGAAAGTCAAGTCAGTATAAGACAGAGACAAGTCCGCATAGAATCATATTATTAGCATTCATTGGCTGTAAACTAAGGTGGAGATTCTGCTTGTTTCAGATTTGCATGCACTGTTCGTTTGAATGATCCACCTCCCACTCTCACACACATTCATTTGCTGGTGGGACAGCAGTGTGATTCTTATGGTAAATACGCTAAGTGATTTTGTGTATTCTTCATATTTGTTGTTTTGTAGATTTATTATGTGCTGATAAAAGCTCTCTAGCTGACACATTTACTTGTGTTTTCGATAACATGTAACTGATTGGTTCCACTGTACATTTGCTTGATATCTATTAACTAAAGATTCAAAGATAATTAGCCACCACCCACTCTTATTTCACAATGAGGTAATAGACGATGGTAAGTTGGAGGGATGCTTTCTATATGATCAGTTGCCTGGGAGTGCTTTCTATATGACCAGTTGCCTGGGAGGGGTGCTTTCTATATGATCAGTTGCAGGAGAGGGGTGCTTTCTATATGATCAGTTGCCTGGGAGGGTTGCTTTCTATATGATCAGTTGCAGGAGAGGGGTGCTTTCTATATGATCAGTTGCCTGGGAGGGACGCTTTCTATATGATCAGTTGCCTGGGAGGGGTGCTTTCTATATGATCAGTTGCCTGGGAGGGGTGCTTCCTTTATGACCAGTTGCCTGGGAGGGTTGCTTTTTATATGATCAGTTGCCTGGGAGGGACGCTTTCTATATGATCAGTTGCCTGGGAGGGGTGCTTTCTATATGATCAGTTGCCTGGGAGAGACGCTTTCTATATGATCAGTTGCCTGGGAGGGGTGCTTTCTATATGATCAGTTGCCTAGGAGTTTCTTTCTAAATGATCAGTTTCCTAGGAGTTTCTTTCTATATGATCAGTTGCCTGGGAGGGATGCTTTCTATATGATCAGTTGCCTGGGAGGGCTGCTAGAGAGTGACTGATGACGGGGCATGGAAGGATCTACATATAATAGCGAAGGATAGAATGACTTGGTGTGAGTTAGAAGAGGGCCAATGCTCTATTGGGAAACAGAGAGCAGAAGAAGAAGAAGAGACATAGGTGAAGGCAAGCTAGTGAAAGTTGATAACCAATTCATATATGGATGGATAACAAACAACAATATTCTAAGCGAGCGGATGATGACAGCATCACAGAGTGGAGGATTACAGTATCAGAGAGTGGAAGATAACAGTATCAGAGAGTTGAAGATAACAGTATCAGAGAGTGGAAGATAACAGTATCAGGAGTGGAAGATAACAGTATCAGAGAGTGGAGGATAACCGTATCAGATATTGGAAGAAAACAGCATCAGAGAGTGGAGGATAACCGTATCAGATATTGGAAGATAACAGTATCAGAGAGTGGAGGATAACCGTATCAGAGAGTGGAAGATAACAGCATCAGAAAGTGGGAGTATCAGAGAGTGGAAGAGAGTGGAGGATAACCGTATCAGAGAATGGAGGATAACAGCATCAGAAAGTGGGAGTATCAGAGAGTGGAAGATAACAGTATCAGAGAGTGGAGGATAACGGTATCAGATATTGGAAGATAACAGCATCAGAAAGTGGGAGTATCAGAGAGTGGAGGATAACAGTGTCAGGGAGTGGAAGATAACCGTATAAGAGAATGGAGGATAACAGCATCAGAAAGTGGGAGTATCAGAGAGTGGAAGATAACATCATCAGAGAGTGAAGGATAACAGCATCAGAGAGTTGAGGATAACAGCATCAGAGAGTGGAGGATAACAGCATCAGAGAGTGGAGGATAACAGCATCAGAGAGTGGAAGATAACAGCATAAGAAAGTGGAAGATAACAGTGTCAGGGAGTAGAAGATAAGAGTATCAGAGAGTGGAGGATAACAGTATCAGAGAGTAGAAGATAGTATCAGAGAGTGGAGGATAACAAACAGTAGTCTAAGAGAGTCTAGGATAACAAACAGCTGACTGAGAGTCTAGGATAACAAACAGCTGTCTGAGAGAGACTAGGATAACAAACAGCTGACTAAGAGTCTAGGAAAACTAACAGCTGTCTGAGAGTCTAGGATAACAAACAGCTGTCTGAGTGAGTCTAGGATAACAAACAGCTGTCTGAGAGAGTCTAGGATAACAAACAGTTGTCTGAGAGAGTCTAAAATAACAAACAACAGTCTGAGAGAGTGTAGGATAACATACAGCGGTCTAAGAGAGTGTAGGATAACAAACAGCAGTCTAAGAGAGTCTAGTATAGCAAATAGCTGTCTAAGAGAGTCTAGGATAACAAACAGCAGTCTAAGAGAGTCTAGTATAACAAATAGCTGTCTAAGAGTGTGTAGGATAACAAACAGCTGTCTAGGAGAGTCTAGGATAGCAAACAGCAGTCTGAGAGAGTCTAGGTAAACAAACAACAGTCTGATGGAGTCTAGAAAAACAAACAGCAGTCTAAGGGAGTCTAGATAAACAAACAGCAGTCTGAGAGAGTCTAGGTAAACAAACAACAGTCTGAGGGAGTCTAGGATAACAAACAGCAGTCTGAGAGGATCTAGGATAACAAACAGCTGTATGAGAGATTGGAGGATAACAAACTGTACAATCAAATTGAAAGAGAGATAGATAGAGAGAGAGAGAGAGAGAGAGAGAGAGAGAGAGAGAGAGAGAGAGAGAGAGTATACTGGATATCCATTGCAACCAACCTGCCTTGTAAAGTCAGATACTATCTGGTCACTCGAACTACCACTATGTAATATATGAATGCAATCTTACCTGCAACACTGTCTGATTTAGTTTTCTCCTCTTCTGGTTGCTCTTCTTGCTCTTCCGAAGACGTTTCAGAGCCATAAAGGTATGCCAAGTCCTCAGAGGACAGGTAACTCATCTGTTCCTCCTTGATGTGTTGATCTGGATACCAGGAATTAAACTTAGGCGGCGAAGGGGGCACTACTGTCTCCTGCTTAACAACAGACATCACCCAGCTGCACTTCTCGGGGCTAATCACCCAATGTGGGTCAGCAAAAGATCCAGACAGCATACCAGCGTTTATGGAAGTCAAAGTTGGTCCGTACCCAACATAACTTTGTGTGACTCGTTGTGCCGGTGTAGGCGACAGTAAAAAATGATTTAGAGCATTGTCATATTCCGGGGAGATAGTTTCTTGCTGTACATTGTCACTTTCGGAATCCAGGTATTTGATTAAATCTACTGCTTCCTCGTTGCCAGTCAAAGAGCACTCAGTGTCAGAAAAGTTAGTTGATGTCAAGAACAACGACGTGGGATTCATGGTATTCATGATTTCATCATGAAAAATATTGTAAGGGTCGCCGAAGTTCATGCTGGAGTCCTGTAAGCAAAAATAACGTTCGATTCATTTGTCTTCAAAAATTATTGGTTTCATGCGTTAGAGAAAAACATAAGCAGTCAAGAGAGAAATGGAAAGAAAAGCCATGGCAGAAGAAGGGACAGAGCAGAAAACAAGTGAACACATGGTTGTCTTTCGTGGCTTGATTATATAAACAAAACGAGTAATGTATGGGGATATATGGACAAGGATTGTTTTCTTAGTATTCACCGGCTGCAACCTCAAGCAGACAGGTTTAGATGTTCGTTCACTTATTGTTTCGCGAGCATATCCATTTGATAGATTTGGCTTATTTGTACTTGATTCCTCGCCTCTCAGGTAGGTGCAAGTCTCAGTTCGAAGGAAACACTCCTAATAGTTAGTTACCCTTTACAACTTAAAAGATAAGAAAACGCATAGGGTGGGTAGTCTGCTGACATGGAGGTGAGGGTATGGGTTGTCGCTGGAGGTGGGGTTGTGGCTGTGATAAGTTCATACACACAAGGCAAGGTTTGCCATGAACTGTGAATGATGCCAGCAACAAATGGTTATAACTTAGAAACGGCTGTTTACGGCATATACACCGTTCATTATCATCATCATCTTTATCTTTGCGTTCTGTAAACTCTGGCAGAAAGTTCTGGGTGTTCGTCCGCTTCTGGAGTTTAGCCAGCCCTGTTCCAGAATCCCAGTGTTGCGTGCATATCTGCACAGATTTGACTTTTTTGTATGCAGACTGTTGGTTCATGCACCCTGACTTTTAAGGAAGCTCAGAATCAGCTGATTAACGACATACTTTTGGGTAGGCAGTGGGTCTATTCTTGCGTCTCCCCACAATGATCCCCGGAACACACAAGGAGATAATATTTCCTTACACTTTCTTAAAATGTGTGAATTTTCAAGCTCAAGACTTCAATAGTAACGATTCCCCTTGTTGGTTCCGGGGCCCCTATTATAGGGAAAACATGAATAGAACTGACTACTGCCAACCCAAAAGCATGTCGTAAGAGTCGACTAATTGGGAGCTTCCTTCGAAGTCGAGGTGCATCTGCCTGAGAGACAAGGAGCCAGCAGTCTACATACAAACGAATCAGGTCTGTAAAACTGAAGCAAACGCAACACTCAGGCTCTGGAACAAGACTGCAGTCCAAAAGTGGATGAACAACCAGAACTTTTCGCTGGAGTGTCAGCTAGTGAACACAAAGAAAAAAGAATAGAAACGACCTGAAAACTAAGCTAAGGTAAGGTGAAGAACTGGACGAATAACATTACTGTCCGCAAATTTACAGCCGGTGAGAGCTAAGAACACGGGATGAGAGAGAGAGGCGGGAGGGGAGAGGGAACCTCCGCATCCTGCAGTTAGGTCACGGTATCCCGGTAGACGGCTGAGGACACGCCTACTAAACAGCCGCCACCGAAGACTTCTCGCATGAGACAAGATAAACTGTCAGCTTCGAAAACTAACGGCAACACTACACTTATAATATATATTTATCTATCGGGTACACCAGTCTAAACATCTTAGTAGCGACCATAACTACTGAACATCACAATTTTTCAAGTTATAAAAACGTACTTTCTAAGATGCGAAAATCACGTTCCTGTTTAAGTGTTTACACAACTAGCAGTCAGTTGGGTAAAGGCGT